GGAGGAGAGAAAGAAGGGTAACCAGGCGGAGAGGTCGTCGAGGAAGCGGGATATGGGTCCAGGGGGCCGATAGATTACTGCGATCCTCAGGAGGATTGGAGAGAATAGTCGGATGCATTGGGCTTCAAAGGAGGAGAAGGATAGAGAGGGAGGGTTTGGAAGATGCTCTGCGGTGACAGGAGCATACCAACCCCACCACCTTTTCGACCGCTGGGTCTGGGTGAGTGGATCCAGGTGAAACCTCCATGGGAGAGTGCTGCAGGGGAGGTAGAGTCGGTGGTTTGGATCCAGGTTTCGGTAATCGCCAGGAGGTTGAGGGAACGGGAGACAAAGAGGTCGTGGATGGAGGTAAGTTTGTTGCAAACCGAACGGGCGTTCAGGAGTGCACACGAAAATGGAGGGGTGGTTTTGGGGAGCAGGGGGACCGGTATTAGGTTGAGGGGGTTGCGGCAGTTCATGGAAGTAGGTAGATGCCTTGTGGGTGAGTGAGGTGGAGGAGGAACAGGGTTTGGGGAGATGTCCCCTGCGGTTAGGAGGAGAAGAAGGGTAAGAAAGGTGGCATGGGAGCGGGATGTACAAGAGCGTGTGATTCTACCATTGGTGGCATTCTGGTCAGTGGGAGAGTGGAGTAGCAGGAGGAGGTGGTGAGAGCCGTAGAGGGAAGATGAAAGCAGTGAGGGCGCGATGTATAGTTGTTTGGGAGGAGCGGGGGGATAGAGAGAAGAGATTTTGGGAACGGAGGAAAAGAGTACGAAGAGGAGGAGGAGGAGTACAGGTGGCATTTTAGGGAGGTAAACAAAGTGGCGGACAAGTAAGGTGGAAAGTCTCTCAGGGCGCTTGGTTGTAGATAGTCGGCGTGTAGTGGCGTATCTCGTAGCTGTACCTTTCCGTGACAAAAGTTTTCATGCTTAGAATCAGGATGGGTAGAGTTCCGTTTGGCCAGTTGTGATCAGGAGTAGTCAAGCGTCGGATGGGCTGCGGGTCAGGGCAGGGTTGTGCTGGGGTAGGCGATGGTAGGCCTCACCAGGTTGAGATCGTCCGTTGGGCTCGGCAGGTCCGGGCAGGGTTGCGACGTGGAGGGCGATGGTAGGCCTCACCAGGCTGGGGTCGTCTGCTGGGTTCGGCGGCGTGGAAGTAGGGTTGCAATGTGGGGGGCGATGGTAGGCCTTACCAGAAAATGGAGGTACACAGGAGCAGCACATGCTTTAAAGTGACTGTCAAAAAATTGACAGCAAAACTTCCAGCAGCCCTGCCATATAAAAACGAAATTCCCATTGAATGGAGCTTTGAAAATTCCTAGTAATTTTGAAACTTGTCCAACCCTTCCTGCCTCAACACAGTGATGGGCCAAAATGAATGTGTGGAAGGCAGACACTACCAGGAAGGGGTAGAGCTTTGATCAATTCAAATGGACAAGAACTTAGGTGTAGTGATAAGGAGGTAGGGGGCAACTATAGGTGGTTGAAAGAATGGTGTCTGTGTTTTAGAATTGATTTTCACTTAAAAAGCTTTTAGGTCACTTTAAACTTAACATCCCTAAAGAACAACCAAGTACAGTATCTACCTTCTCTACCATCCTAGCAAAAAAACTGTGTTAGACTAGGCTATGGGCATCAACAGGAGAGAAAAGCCTGTTCATATTCAAACAATAGTTTGGAACCTTCTTGATGTCTGCTACATTTGGGTATTGTCATTTCAATGTGCTACTTCTTGTAAGATCACCACGTGTCCAGTGTCTACAAGATAATAATAGAAAGTTGAGGATTTGTATTTTCCTAGCATGGCTCCCTACTCACCTTAGGGATACTTGTGATGTTCTCAGATGCATGTGCACTATTGTGCCTCCAAAGATGAAATCTTATGACTATGTTTAAGCTGGTAACAGGTAAAAAGAGGGGACAGCGCGTAGAGGTCCCTGAAAATTCCCACAGTCCCCTCCACTACAAATTAACGCATGTTCTGAATGTGTAAAACTTTACAAATTATTGTTACTTTTAAAATTTGCCCAACCCTTCCTCCCTCATCTCAGTGAGTAAGGGGGCGAACTTCACTACCAACAAGGAAGGGTCAGAGATTTCCCCAATCCAAACAGCTCAGCACTCAAGAGTAGTTGCAAGCTTGCAGCCAACTGAAAGTAGGGTGTATGTGCTTTATAATCGATTTCCACTTTACAAGAACAACAACCATACTCCCTAACATAAAAATAAAGTTAGACAAGGCAATGGACATCGACAGGAGTAAAAAACCTGTTCACAGTCAAACAATGGTTTGAGACACTCTTAATGTACTCTTGATGCATACTCCTGCTACATCTGAAAATTCTGATCCAATGTGCCACTTCTTGAAAGACCACCACATGTCCAGTGTCTATAGCTTATAATACAACTGATGATTTGTATTTTCCTAGCAAGGCTCACTATTTACCTTCTCTTCTTTGGGAACTCAATCATATTCACTGCCCTATTTGCACTAGGCAAGTATCTCTAATATTTTTTCCTTCATCTATGATGTGTGAATTACTTCCAGTCTCTGCAACCAAGGATCACCTCCACAAGATACTTAACTGTAACTCCTAGAGGTGGTCTTAGGTTCCTATGGTCAGCTTAGATATCATGAGTACCAGTGTCATTTGCTGACCTTACTAATGGGCAATCAGAACATTTTTGTGCATTCCCCCATTCTACAGGGGTGGGACTAATAAGCAGTATGAGCTATAATTACATTAGATAGACGGGTCAGAAACTTTGCTTCACAGTAATGTGGCAGGCAGTCAGTATAAGTAACTGCTACCAGTACTGCAGGCCAACCCCTTGGATGGAGCAACCAAAACCGAGCTGTAATGATTATACTGAAATTTGGAGAATGGAACCTAATACTTGACTATTTGCTCTGAGAGGCAGCAAAAATTGTCTCTGCACTGCATTTATAAATCAGTCAGAGATCTGTTTAGGTGCATGGAGGGGATAATACTGAATTGATTTAAATTTCAGATGTCCGGACTGTATGTAATGTGCATAGTGTGCACAATGTATGTAATGTGCATTGTACGCATTTTTTATTTGCTTTGAGACTGATAAATCCTTTAACCTGCTGTATATTGAAAGCAAAATACATTTATAATGATTTATGTATTACTGTTATCCTAGAATATGTTACAGTAAGGATCAATGAATATGCATCTTGTTCAATGAACTACGGTCCTGATGAATCATGGGAACATCCAAAACGGGTTGACCATCGTGTAGAATAAACAAACAATATGTAATTGATGAAATACAGTGGATATAAAAAGTCTACACACCCCTGTTAAAATGTCAGGTTTCTGTGATGTAAACAAATTAGACAAAGATAAATCATTTCAGAACATTTTCCACCTTGAATGTAACCTATAAACTGTACAACTCAGTTGAACAACAAACTGAAATCTTTTAGGTGGAGGGAAGTAAAAATAAATTAATATGGTTGAATAAGTGTGCACACCCTTAAACTAATACTCTGTTGAAGCACCTTTAGATTTTATTAAAGCAATCTTTTTGGATATGAGTCTATCAGCATGGCACATCTTGACTTGGCAATATTTGCCCACTCTTCCTTGCAGAAACAATACAGATCTGTAAGATTGCAAGAGCATCTCCTGTGCACAGTCCTCTTCAGATTACCCTACAAATTTTCGATCGGATTCAGGTCTGGGCTCTTGCTGGGCCATTCCAAAACTTTAATCTTCTTCTGGTGAAGCCATTCCTTTGTTGATTTGGATGTTTGCTTTGGGTCGTTGTCATGCTGAAAGATGAAGTTCCTCTTCATGTTCAGCTTTCTAGCAGAAACCTGAAGGTTTTGTTCCAATATTGACTGGTATTTGAAACTGTTCATAATTCCCTCTACCTTGATTAAAGGCCCCAGTTTCAGCTGAAGAAAAACAGCCCCAAAGCATGATGCTGCCACCACCATGCTTCACTTTGGGTATGGTGTCCTTTTGATGATGTGCAGTGTTGTTTTTGCGCCAAACATATCTTTTGGAATTATGGCCAAAAAGTTCAACCTTGGTTTCATCAGACCATAACACATTTTCCCACATGCTTTTGGGAGACTTCAGATGTGTTTTTGCAAAATCTAGCTGGGCTTGGATGTTTTTCTTCGTAAGAAAAGGCTTCCGTCTTGCCACTCTATCCCATAGCCCAGACATATGAAGAATACTGGAGACTGTTGTCACTGTACCACACAGCTAGTACTTGCCAGATATTCCTGCAGCTCCTTCAATGTTGCTGCAGGCCTCTTGGCAGCCTCCCAGACCAGTTTTCTTCTCGTCTTTTCATCAATTTTAGAGGGCCATCCAGTTTTTGGTAAGGTCACTGTTGCGCCATATTTTCTCCACTTGATGATGACTGTCTTCACTGTGTTCCATGGTATATCTAATGCCTTGGAAATTCTTTTGTACCCTTCTCCTGACTGATACCATTTAACACTGAGATCCCTCAGCTCTCTGCTGATCATGGCTTTTGCTGTAGGATGAGACTAAGGAAATGTCAGGACCTACTAGAACAGCTGAACTTTATTTGGGGTTAATCAGAGGCACTTTAAATGATGGCAGGTGTATACTGACTCCTATTTAACATGATTGCTTAATTCTGAACACAGCTACAACCACAGTTATAAGAGGGTGTGCACACTTATGCAACCACATTATTTTAGTTTTTTATGTTTACTTTACTAGTTCTAAAATGATTTATCTTTGTCTAATTTTTTTTACATCACAGAAACCTGACATTTTAACAGGGGTGTGTAGACTTTTTATATGCACTGTATCTATGCATTGTTTGGGGTGTACACCATGCTCTTTTCATCAGTGGAAATGTGTTTTTAAACATGGAAAGTCTCTTACACTGTACAAATAAATTGAGATATCTTTGTTTGTGCGTTATTTTGGTAATATGTCCCAGAGTGCTGTAACAAAAAGTTCTATATGTAATTTTTGAAGTATTGATGACTGACGGAGGACATACCTGGGTATAAACTTGAGCTGTACACTGAAGGATGACTGAGCCTGAATAAAACCAGTCTTTGGAAGCAGCTCCATGTGGTTCCTTAGTTCTTTGCACACTTCAAACTTTAAACGAAGGGCAATTGTTGCTCTGAAAATCAGACACAAGAATTTGATATACTATTACACATGTAGGTACACTATTGAATTTAGTTTCAATTTCTGTGTTATAATTTCTGTAAATAATGTAGCTCGATTGGGGTCATAGAAGTACAGCTTGTTCTAAGCATCTCCATGATTGCAATTCATGAATATAGGAGGATGGAAGATGATGTGTTCCTTAGGTGGGTCATCCTAGCCTCCCACACATGAGGCACTTCAGACATATTGCAAAAGAACATAGGAAATCAAGGTAATTCACAGAGATCTTGAGCATTAAAGACAAAACTGAACGTATGGTAGGGAAATGGGGAGAAAAAGATTAGATGTGAGAGAAAAGTGAGGGATGGGGATCTGTCACACAGGGTCGCCTGTTTGGTTTCTGTTTCCATACAATATACAGAACATTAATTTTCTTTTCTCAGATTTGAATGAACAAGTCCCTAAACATTTAAAGGATAAATTTATATTTAGTACAGTTATCTTGTAAGTATCCTCCCCACCCCCTGAGAGTAGCACATGTGGTAAAATATTTAGCTTCCTCCCCATTGAAGCAAACTAGCACACACGCATGCCATGGTCTAATTTATTCCTATGGATGAGCTGTTCTCATGGCAGCTTCCAGTCATACAGTGGAGTAAGCTTCACCCATAAGCTCCATAAAGAGAACCCTCATTATTTCATAGTATCCAGGATCTTAAATAAGTTATTAACTAACCTCTACTTTATTTAATTATTAATATTTCTATAGCGCTTTTCTCCCTGGGGACACAAAGCTCTTTATCTGCTGCTTGGGCAGAATGTAAGGCAGCCATCTTTAGCAAGCTCAGTAGGTTATCATACTAGGTCCACAAGGAGAACATGAAAACTCCATGCAAATAGTGTCCTGACCAGGACACAAACAGAGGAGCCCAGTGTTATACGCCAGAAGTGCTAACCACTAAGCCACTATGCTGTTTTGTAATGGTCAATTTACCATCATATATTTATCTTGAAAAGCTTGAATTTAAAGTGACATTAAAGCTTCAGTTTCTCTTATTAAAATAACAAACATGTCATACTAGTTCCACGTAATGGTTTTGCACAGAGCAGCCCCGATCCTTCTGTTCTCAGGTTACCCACCCGTGTTCCTGGTTCTCTCCCAGCTGAATGCCCACTATAGGAAGCAGCTTCCTATGGCTGTCACTTATGCAGGCTCACTTTCAAGCTGAGCTGCTTGCGTCTATTCAGACACACAGCATGGCTCAACCCTGTCCCCCGCTCACAGGTTTTGACTGACAGCAGCAGGAACCAATGGCATCCACTGCTCTCAGCCAAGCCTGTGAGAACTGGGAGAGTGGAGAGGAGCTGTTGAAGACGTGCACAGCGCTGGACTGAGATTGGGCTCAGGTGAGTATTTAGGGGGGATTGCAGAGGGAGCTGCTCTTAAATGATTTTTTACCTTAATGCAGAGAATGCAATAGGGTAAAAAAATGTTTACCTTTACAATCACTTTAACTGTAGTAAGTATACCTCATGCAGTCCTCCTTCACATACACATTTCGTCAAATATGTATGATGAAGACGTCATAAATTGTTGTGCTCGTTTATCTGCTACTTCTGCTGGCTATAGATATGAAAGAAGAGTCAGACAGCAGAAGTGAGCAGCCTATTAAGCAAACCTGTAATAACAGAAATATGGGGTTACCACTACTGATCCCATTCTAAAAATAGGAGCTGTTATGCTGTCTCCCTGACTTCAAACATTTGAAATCACTGCTTCAAAAGAAGTATGCAGCTCAACAAAGTCAAAGTAAAGTTCTTATCTGCATTCTTGTTTCGGTACTCAAGTCAGAGGTTCAGTAGGTAGCTATAAATTACAGCAAAAACATATACCTCAAAAGTATTTACAGGCAAGCAGTGGGCATAAGTGCTAAACAGATAGATAGACATGCGAAGATCATTCATTCAATAAAAAATAGACATAAGATTCCAGCTATACAGATCAATATTTTCTTGACACCTGTTTATATCAGATCTTTGTAAGAATGACCATTATATGATCTTTCTAGCACCGGTGGCCTAATTCTAAAACCACAATATGTGATAACTGAAGAAAGCTGCAGTTAGGGCCTGGCAAAGCATCAGAAAGGAGGAAACCCAGTCTTTGGTAATGTCCATGGGTTCCAGACTTCAGGCAGTCATTGCCAGTAAAGGATTCTCAACAAAATATTAAAAATGAATATTTTATTCATGATTATATTAACTTGTCCAATTACATTTGAGCCCCTGAAAATGGAGGGACTGTGTATAAAAATGGTTGCAGTTCTTAAAATTTGTACTAGATATTTATGTTCAACCCCTTGAATTAAAGCCGAAAGTCTGCACTTCAGATCCAGTTGGATTCTTTCATTTTAATTTATTCTGGTGGCATACAGAGCCAAAAGTATGAAAATTGTGCCATAATATTCCACTTCTTTTCCTTCAAATGCTCCTGGGTTGCTTTTTCAGTGTGTTTTGGATCATTGTCCATCTGCACTGTGAAGCGCCATCCAATCAACTTTGCTGCATTTGCTGAATCTGGCCTGACAGTATATCTCTAAACACTGCAGAATTTATCCGGCTGATTCTGTCACATCATCAGTAAACACCAATGACCCAGTGCCACTGGAAGCCATGCACGCCCATGCCATCACACTGTCTCCACCATGTTTTACAGATAACGCTGTGTACTTTGGATCATGAGCTGTTCCAAGCCTTCTCCACACTTTTTTTTCTTCCTGTCACTCTGGTACAGATTAATCTTCAGTTTCATCTGTCTAAAGAATGCTTTTCCAGAAATGGTCTTGCTTTTTTAGATGTTTTTTTTGGCAAAGTCTAATCTGGCTTTTCTATTCTTCAGGCTTATGAATGGTTTGCACCTTGTGGTGAACCCTCTGTATTTGCTCTCCTGAAGTCTACTCTTGATTGCAGACATTGACAATGATACGCCTACCTCCTGGAGAGTGTCCTTCACTTGTCTGGATGTTGTGAATGGGTTTTTCTTTACCATAGAGAGGATCCTGCGATCATCTACCACTGTTGTCTACCGTGGATGTCCATGCTTCTCTATGTTGTTGAGCTCAACCGTGCGTTTTTCTTTCCTCAGAATGTACCAAACTGTTGATTTGGCCACTCCTAATGTTGCTGCTATCTCTCTGATGGATTTGTTTAATTTTTGAAGCCTTACAATGGCCTGTTTCACTTTCATGGACAGCTCCTTTAAACACATGATGTAGGTTCACAGCAATAGATTCCAAATGCAAATACCACACTTAGAATAAACTCCAGACCTTTTACCTGCTTAATTGATGAAGAAATAATGAAGTAGTAGCCCACACCTGGCCATGAAACAGCTTTTGATTCAACTGTCCAATTACTTTTGGTCCCTTGAAAAAGGGGGGATGGCTACTCTTAAGAGCTGTAATTCCTAAACCCTTCTCCAGTTTGGATGCACATACCCTCAAATTAAACCTGAGAGTGTGCACTTTCAGCCCATATCCATTATATAACTATAGCTTGAATATGTTTTGTTAAATACCTGAAAACAACTAAAATTGTGCCTGTGTCCAAATATATATGGACCTAACTGAACATACAGAGATTTTGGTTCATATTGACCTGATAGCATCACGCACTTGCTGCATATTTGTTGGCTGCAAATCCATGATGTAAATCTCCCATTCCACCACATCCCAAGGGTGCTCTATTGGATTAAGATCTGGTGACTTTGGAGGCCATTGGAGTACAGTGAACTCATTGTCATGTTCAAGAAACCAGTTTGAGATGATTTGAGCTTTGTGATATGGTGTATTATCCTGCTGGAAGTTGCCATCAGAAGATGGGTACACTGTAGTCATAAAGAGATGGACATGGTCAGCAACAATACTCAGGTAGGCTGTGGCGTTTAAACGATGCTCGTTGGTACACCGCCACCACCAGCCTGAACTGTTGATACAAGGCAGGATGGATCCATGCTTTCATGTTGTTTGCACCAAATTCTGCCCTTACTATTTGAATGTCGCAGCTGAAATCGAGACTGATCAGACCAGACAACATTTTTCCAATCTTTTATTATCCAATTTTGGTGAGCCTGTGCAAACTGTAGCCTCTATTTCCTGTGCCTAGCTGACAGAAGTGGCCCCTGGAGTGGTCTTCTGCTGCTGTAGCCCATCTGCTTCAAGGTTCAATGTGTTGGGCATTCAGAGATGGTATTCTGCATACCTTGGTTGTAATGAGTGGTTATTTGAGTTACTGTTGGCTTTCTATCATCTTGAACCTGTCAGTCCATTCTCCTCTGACCTCTGACATCCACAACACATTTTCGTCTGTACAACAGCCGCTCACTGGACATTTTCTCTTTTTCAGGCCATTCTCTATAAACCCTACAGATGGTTGTGCATGAAAAAAAATCCTAGTAGATCAGCAGTTTTTGAAATACTAAGACCAGCCCATCTGGCATTAGCAACCATGCCACGTTCAAAGTCACTTAAATCCCCTTTCTTCCCCATTCTGATGCTTGGTTTGAACTTCAGCAAGTTGTCTTCATGACATCTAGATGCTTAAATGCATTGAGTTGCTGCCATTGGCTGATTAGCAATGTGTGTTACAAAGCAATTGAAGAGGTGTACCTAATAAAGTGGCAGGTGAGTGTGCATGTGTGTGTGTGTGTATGTATATATATATATATATATATATATATATATATATATATAGTGGGGGTTACCTCAGGTGAGGGATCACCTTCCCTGGGGAAAAGGTAGTACAGACGGCAGGCCTTTCTTAAAAATCTGACTTGTAGCCAGTTTTATTTAAAGGGTTGCATGCATCATAAACAAAATCGAACAGAAAATAAATCCTCGCCATCCAGGCACTAACTAAACAGAAGAGATTCCTATCTCACAGGTGAAGGGCTCCTCCCTGTCACCAACAGAACAAAACAGTGTGCAATCCTTTTCCTTTCTTGAACAAAGCAAACTCTTTCATTCACAGCTCTCTCAGGTATGCTCCCTGAGTCCCAGGCCAAGAGCAACTTCTTGCTCCAGTCCTGGTTTATTTATACCACCTGCTGGTGGTCATCAGTGGACCGCAAAATCTGTCAAAGTGGCCTGGAATATTTAAACCAGTTAATAATATTACTCTATATTGTGATACAGACTGTGCTATAGACATTATTTTTACCACATACCTGGCAACTAACATTTACCAAAGGTCTTGATAATTTTTTATTCATATTCAAACTCATTGTCAAAATTCTAGTTCCCTGGCTGTTGTGTCAAATGGCTTCTGTACTTTTAGGGTTACTAACCTGGAACAAATGTACAGGTTAGGAGCTCTGACTTTGACTTTTGCAAATACTTTAGTATTTTCAGAAGGAGATCAGCAATGACATCCTTAATATTCCTCTCAGTACAGGTTTTCTTTAAATTGTTCCCTTTGTAAATGCTTTGCAGGGTGTACAGTTCATTTGCAATGTTGTTTTCCATAAGTATTTTTTTATTCTTTCCTCATGGGGATTATCTTCATGCAGCTGCTACTCAGACATACGAAGTGGAAATATTTAATGTAATGGAAGGTTACAGCTCTCTGTCTCTGTAATTGGCACACTTGCCTCTCTCTTTGCACCAATTACGTTGGAGGGGTTTGGGTGGTATTAACCTCTGCTCCTGAGACATCAAAGTCGAGAAGATTAACAGCGTTCATGCATAATACATGTATGAATGGTTTCTTGCAGTTAGCCTGTGGTCTCAATCATCCAAATCCTTATTGAAATCACTTAAACTGCTGCTCTGCACTTCATATTTTGTGCACGACATCTCTCCTAGTTTCACAGCATCCTTAAATCTCTGTTCTTTGATATCCATTGTCTTTATGCCGGTGAATTACATGCCCAAGTCCAGTGATACAGCAATATATAGAACAAATAATGAAGAAGGCAACTACAATAGATTTCATATATACTGACTAAAGGAAAGCAAACCTATTGTTCCAAGCAATCAATCTGAATACAGCTGTCATCTTCTACAGTGGTTTTAAGAATGAAGGGAAGTCTATGGTTGCTTTGGCCAAAATATTCACCTATTCCAATTTTGCCATAAAGATCATACGATGATAGATACTTTACTTTTGAATGGATGGATGTCAGTATGTTGACCCACTCACCACCTTCTTTTCAGAAGCTGAGAATATGTTAGTGAGGTTACCTCAGTTAAATGCCCAGCTTTGCCTCATTGCAGCAATTCCCAAGACAAGCAATAAAGGTTGCTCCAATTGCAATAGTTTCAAAGAGTGAGGAACCCTTAAAATAAATCTTCTCATTACTTAGAAAATGTAAACTGCAGTCACTGTGGTCACAAAGGTGTAAATATTCCTGGACACTAAATTAAAACTATTTTGATGCGTCATGTGCTGGACCAACATCTGGTCACCCTTATAATGACCATAGCATGCGTACAGGGGTGACAACTCCAGTACAGACAATTTAACCCACTGCATCCAACCACACTGAAAATATCCGCCCCCCGTAAATGTTCAACCAACTAACAATGTTTCAATTCACACTATCTATTGCCCCTTTTTATACATCTACTTTTTTTTTTACTTAAAATCATTTAATTTTACATAAAGCTGACCAAGGAAGTTCAATATCGGTCAGAGGCAAGCAACTTTTGAATGAGGACATCAAATTACCTTTAAGTTCCCCACAGTCCTAAATTTAAGTTCTACTGAGTACCAAAGATTTTAAAACTTTTGGATCAAATTGACAACTGGAATTCTTTAAAGCTAGTATACCTGTTTTTAACAACAACACTATCCTGGTACAGACGATCAAAAGAACAGATCTTCAGATCAACATTTGAATTTGGAACATAGACAGGAACATCAATAGCCACTCCAGTGGCTGTGATAGGAATCTGAAAGAAGAGGTGGAAAAGGGTCAAATATTTACCTGTGTACCCTGCTTCAATGTACCTCTCACATGTGTCTAATTTGCCAAGATAGGCCTGTTTTTGAAGCATAAGTAGTTAAAGAGCTCATAGAAATGAGCATGAGCTCATTTGAGTAGAGCCTGACTGGGATAAGGAGGATTGGTTGTGAGGTCTAAAATATCTTAAACGTAGAGTTTATAGGCTAGGTGTCACCAATACCAGTACTTACTGGATTGTCACTAAAAATGTGCCTGCTGTCTACTTATGTATCCATCAAATTCCAAATTTCTGCTGCTATTCCCAGCCTACACTTTCTGCATTTGTCATTATTCATTCAGCTTCCATCTGTTGAGGCAATAAAAGCAGACTTCTTGACTAAAATGGTGGTGTTCAGCTCACTATCTATCCATTGCCTGAATGTAAACCTATAATGGAAGTTAAAACATTAAATATCATATTCCTGACCACTTGATGTTACAAAATGAAGTAAAGTCATGCTTCCACTTTTACAAAGTGCCATAATAAATTCAAAATACTTACAGCTTTGCAATTTTTATTCTCAAAGGTGATCTCAAATAATGCACTCGCTTTTCCTGGGAAGGTTGGGGTGAATATAATTGGAATTCTCACTGATGTAAAAGGTGCTATCTCTCCATTCATTCCCTGAAAAAAGATTACAGTAGATAAAGCAAACACAGCAGCAAAAAGATACTGGGATGCAATTGATTTGATTAGCATTGATGTTGGGGACCTGCAGCTTGCAAAACTACTATGATTTTTTTTTTTCTTTTAGACATAATATGAAATACCACACATAAATAATGCATATTTACTACATACAGCTAACAGTTGGCTTATTCCAAATAAGAACAACTTCTTTCTGGAGCTTACTTAATAGCTCCACTGTGAAACACACCTGAAAAGCAGGTAGATACTACTACAGACTAATCTCTCCATCATACACAGGAAGCCAACAAGCATACAGACAGGTTATCCCATATTTAAATGCTATGCTTTATAAACGCATTGCCATGGATATTTAAGGAATATACGGAATATTTGTATATTAACAATTTTAAACAATGAAAATACATATTAAACATAGGTGATAAAGATGTAAAGTTAAAAAAAACTCACCAAAGCATTAAACAGAGTGAGTCTAGGAAAGAATCGCCCCCTTTAAATAACCACATTTTGTTGCTTTCGAGCTTGAAATGAAGACAGGCACAGTTTTTGTTTTATCCAGCTGTATTTACTCAGTGCAACTTATAACAATAAAGTGAAAGATATAACATCAACATGTCAGAAAAAAATAAAAACAAAAATTCAAAAACAGAATCACTGAGTTGGAAACAGGATCACCCCCTCCTAAAAATTACTTGAAAACTCTATCGGGTGTAGCTAATCACCTTCTCAATGGCACACAGAGCCACTTGAATTTCACCTGTGATCAGCTGTGGTCATTTTGATTAGCTCAGCATGAAAACAGCTTTCCTGGAGCATTTCAGTCCCTGGCAGTGGAAGTCAACTATGGGTGACAAGGCACTGTCAAAAGATCTATCAGATAAAGTCGTGGACAGGCACATGTCAGGAGATGGATACAAAAAAAAAATTCAGAGGCTTTACCAATGCCTAGAAGCACAGTGATGCCTATTATTAAGAGGTGGAAGGTATTTGGTACAATACAGACCCTCCCGGGATCAAGACATTGCTCCAAACTGGATGAAAGAGCCGGGCGGAAACTTGTTAGAGAGACTACCAAGTGGCCTACAGCAACCCTGAAGCAGCTGCAGGAATTCCTGACAAAGAGTGTTCATTGTGTGCATGTCAAAACAATATCTTTATGTTATATCTTTCACTTGAATATTATAAGTTGACTTGTGCCTGTCCACAACTTTATCCTGGAGATATTTTGACAGTGCCTTGCCACCCATAGTTGATTATTTGCTTCACTTGCACTGCCAGGGACTGAAATGCTCCAGGAAAGCTGTTTTCATGCTGAGCTAATCAAAATGACCACAGCTGATCACAGTTGAAATTCAAATGGCTTTGTGTACCACTGAGAAGGTGATTAGCTACACCTGACTGAGTTGACAAGTTAGTTTTAGGAGGGGGTGATCCTTTTTCCAACTCAGCAAGTTTGTTTTTCAATTTTGGTTTTGTTTTTTTCTGACATGTTGGTGTTATATCTTTCACTTGGATGTTATAAATTGCACTGAATAAATACAGCTGAATAAAACAAAACTGTGTCAGTCTTCATTTCAGGCTGCAAAGCAACAAAAAGTGAATCATAGTCCAATTGTCAGCATGTGTCACTGTTATGCTGTTTCCATCCTTATGTATTTTAAAAAGATTACACCAAAGAATACAGATAAAGGTGTTCTAGTTCTTTATATTTTCCATCCATGTGCTCACATGAAATTCTGTACAGAATAAAACAGAATTGATCTTCCAGTTTTATTTATTTTGCCTATTTTTTATCCTCTATTTTAACCTGTAGTAGTCTTATTAAAATTATGTATATTTCATTTTATTTACATCAATGGCAGAGAAATATCCATGGAAGGCCTTGTATTATACACAAGGGACAAATAATCAGATTTGGTACCAATGTTCTGTGGTTTTTGGTTATTTCTCAAACTGAGATGCATAATACAACAATCTACACAAGGGTCTCTGGCAGTTATTTCTTGAACTGTCACACATACCTCACCCAGCTTGATATCTGCAGTTTCTTCCTGAATGTCTCCATACAGATGTTCATCTCCACTGTGTGTGTTTTCCACAGCAACAGGGGGTTCCTCATTGACATATTCTACAAACAAACATTCAGTTAGTTGCAGGAAGCAGAAAGAGTCTGTCTGCTTTAAAGGGAATGTAATGTTTTCGATGACACACATCTAAAAATTAGTCTGAAAAAAATTTTTTTTTTTTTTGTGGGAGAGTTAAAGGAGAAGTTTGTGGTTAAAAAAATAAACATCACTATTCAACTGTATGCTGCAGCATCTGTGCGATGGTGCAGCTGTCCCACTTTGGCTCTAAAATGGTCTGCTCATTTCTAAGCCACATGTTGAGAGGTAAAGCCAGCTGTTAATCAGGCAGCTAGGTGGATCCCAACAGTATTGTCAGGATCCTTCCAGAGCCTGGAGAGGCACTGCTCTGTCAGCCTATAGCAGGCAATAGCCCACTATAATCTGACAAAAGTAAGGTTACTCCTTTGACCCCAAGAAATATATGGCCAAAAGGTTTTGGCCATACTTCTCTTTTAAATTACATCTAAAGCCTTTTTTTTTTCCATTTTAGTATAGAGTTTGAAGTTCCTGTGATGTGGTGCCAGCAACATATCGCACCTTGCTGATAGCCCATTTTTTAGAGAACACTGTACCGTAAAGCATGTTTGCAAGTTGCACTGCAATGCACATCCGTAAGCATGATGTGTTAGGGTGCCATTCAGAATGAATGCCACCACATTGCACCAATGTATGTTCCATGTGCTGGCATACATTGCAGTAAAGGATATGTTTCCGCAATGCCATAGTATGAACAAGCCCTATAAGATCATCTCTTCTAAGTGAGGAAACATCCCCCTTTAGACTCATTATTGAATTAGGTGTTCCAATTATTTATTTATTTCAGGTAGTTATATAGCGCCATCAATTTACGCAGCGCTTTTACATATATATTGTACATTCACATCAGTCCCTAACCCTCAAGGGGTGTACAAACTAAGGTCCCTAACTCACATTCATATACAAGGCCCAATTTAGACAGGATCCAATTACCCTACCAGCATGTCTTTGGAGTGTGGAAGGAAACCGGAGTACCTGGAGGAAACCCATGCAGGCACAGGGAGAACTTGCAAACTCCAGGCAGGAGGTGCTGTGGCTGGGATTCGAACCAACGACCCTAGTACTGCCAGGCAGAAGTACTAGCCATTTAGCAGGTTTGCCTTCACCTCCCGCTCCCCATCTCTTTTTATCCTGTAATGAAGCGGACCAATAGGGAGGATGAATCTCCACAGCAGGGGTACAGATGGCTATAAAAACCCGACAATGGTTCTAACCTTCTAAACTTTGCTGTGTGTGAACAATTCTCCCACCCTGTTAGGTGCGCTGTGACAGTCTATTAGCACAGCTGCAATGCTCACTGGTTAACAATAAAGATTATTCTCCCTTGCTGTCTGAACGCATTTCCGTAGCAGTTACATATTGACAATGCAATGCTAGAAAATCAGCGCTAGGGTGATTGTGGCTGGGAATAATGATGAATAGTAACCATAATTCCACAAAGGGTATACTTAATGATAACCCTACTTCAATTCCATAAAAGATATGCTTTATTACGTGCAAACTGGGTACAATGTTACCAGAATAGTTCCGGATGCAGAGGTGTGGGCCAGGCACGACTGGAAGAATGTCCGCTCACCTGCCTCCCCAGGCCTAGAGCGGTGTGGACTCCGATGGCTAACCCGGCCAGGGACCAGGGTGCACCGGAAGGGACATCACACCACCGGTGGGGAAGCGGAAGTCAAGATGTGGATCGCAAGCTGGAGCTGGTAACCAAGACAACGCGTTTCATGCGCATGCGCTTTGTCAAGTCTCTTACTAAATACTTTGGAATGTCTACTTTCTTCCAAAAAGGGCTCATTTAGGGGTATTTGTACTGTCCAGACTTGTTAATCTGGCCTCCCCAATCCTGGTGTTCAGCGCTTGGATCTTGTAATATATTAACACTGGTTGCATTAGAAGTTTACAATTATTATTATTATAAATACTTATATAGAGCCGTCAATTTACGCAGCACTTTACATATACTTTATATATTGTACATTCATATCAGTCCATAAATCTTAAGAAGCTTACAATCTAAGATCCCTAACTCACATTCATGCATACACATTCTAAGGCCAGTTTAGACAAGAGCCAATTAACCTACCAGCATGTCTTTGGAGTGTGGGAGGAAACCAGAGTACCCGGACGAAACCCACACAGACACGGGGAAAACATGCAAATGTCAGGCAGGTAGTGTCACAGTTGGTATTCGAAACGATGACCTAATGCTGCCTGGTGGAAGTGCTAACCACTTAGTCACTGTGCTGCCCACAATAACCCTCTCATGAGAAAAATTCATAGGCTGCTTTTATTTGACCAGAAGAATTCTAAATTCTAGAATTTAAAACCTAGCCAGAACATATTTTTGTAGTTTTGGATTTGTGTTTTCATTGGGGAGATGTCTCTTTGTTTCCTGTCCTGGTGACTGACTGGTAATTGGAATTTCAAGTGCATCTATGGTCAACATTTAAAATCATTATATCCACATTCAAAGCCAGTGACGAGGGAGCAGGGAGCGATTTCAACTATTTCTAGCCTACTCCTATTATTCTGAATGATCTTGAAGTTTGTAAACTTTGTTTGATCCTCACAAATTTACGTCTTTGAATTCTGTGACATGTATTCACTATGCCTGTGTATATGAATGCATGACTCACACATTTCATGAAGCCTGTCTTCTGAACTACAGAGGTGCTGAGAGGAGGAGTTCAAGCAGGTGGAGTCAATACAGGAATCACTGCTTGTGGGCAGCAAGGCACCATGGGATATGTAGTCCATAGAATTTGAAAGTACACCTAATAAACCAGCAGAGAAGAGCTGCAAAGCATGCAGGGAATTCAGGAAGTTGTGGAAAGAGATGTCCAGCAGACAGGCAACACTCACAACATGAAATTAGATTTTTTTTCCAGGAAGCTTATATTGGATTGTCAAAAATAACTATTGTTTGTATTACTATCACAACGCTGATTTCATAAAATGAAGGTGTACAGTATGTTCTGACCATAGAACTGCTTTAACATACCAGTGCCTATTTCTTTTTGTAGTTTGGCACTTCTGGGTTCCTCATCTGGTAGAGTTGTTTCTACTCTTGTGGGTTCTGTTTGGTTATAGTCTGAAGCTTCTAAATGCTCCTGATTTGTGGAATCTATTGAAACTGAGGTATTTGTGTCTCTAGAGATTTGATCAGGGGAAACTGGAGTTATCTGTAAAATAAAAACAAACTTTATCACTGATTACATTACATTTTATGTTAGCAAATGTACTCATAACTTTGAACTGAAACACATGCTGTGTTTAGTATGAAATAGGCCTTTAATAGGCAAACCATATCATTATGTGATGGCAACATCCCTTTTGAAGAAACATGTCAAGGAGAAGCCTTTGTATGCCGTGACGTCACGCCGCCGGATCACGGAGGTCCAGCGGCCATCTTTAAACACCAGCTGGTTAGTGTTTTCAGCAGCTTGGATGCTGCTTCACCAACTTCTATACACAGTTACCCCATATATGTGTACTACATGTTACATCTTTGTGTTTTCCCAATAAATATTGTTACATACCACACTGTGGGCATCTATATTTCTTGCTCTGCACCGAGCAATTAAACCCACCCTAGGACCCCAGGTGATCCATCCGGACCAGAGGAGGGAAGCCTATGACCAGACCCTATTGCAGTTTACCCGTTACCCGTTAAAGGGGCCCTCTGATTGACATCTCTAACACCCAGACCCACAGAGGAGGGAATCTCGTACCAGGCTGTACCTTAAAGGAGACCTCCGTTCTGACTTACTTGATCAATGCGCATTAAGATTGCACTTCCAGTGAGTGTGCAATCTTACCATTTGTCGCATGTCACCGGAGTACTACTGGTTCACACCGGGATATAGAAGTTTTTCATCCGTTATTACCTATTGGGGACTGTCATTGTCACCTGATATATATACTACCACCTTTTGCACTATAATTTAGATATATATCTGTTTGCACTTTATCTGGACGATTATATCATATATACCAGAGGTATTTTTGTACTTATAGAAGTATCCCATGTCATGATGGTCTTATAGCTTTTTATTATTAATATTATTAGGATTTTTATTGTTTTTAGCGCTGCACTTCTTTACTTATATTGTTCATTGAGAAGGTTTGTGGTTCCTTTTTGGTGCACTAGCTGCTGTTGTAAGCACTCACTAAGTTCTTACTGTTCTTATATATCATTATGTGAACTTTAGGAAAGTCACATTGTAGATATGCACCAATCATTCAGAAAATATTCACACCGGTGTTTCTTTCCAATGGCAGTCTCTTGGAGGCCAGGTTCAAACCTTTGCAGTATGTTATCACATACATTAACCTTAGCTGTGATAAGGCAACCTATACATTTTAAAAGGGGTGTCAACGCAGAATTATGGCCCTTCATAGACACTATTATTTCTTTCACAGTTTACATCTATGTGCTATAGTGCACCAAAATGTAGGCTCACTGTAGTGCCTTGAGAAAGTGGGTTAGGGTACCCTGTAATTCAGTGAACAGCATCACATTTCACTGCAGTTTCTGTGTTACTGTATGTCACAGTAAAATGCAAGGTGTGAACCTGGCTGGAAGCAGAGAAGTTGTGTAGCACAGAATGACTAGCAAGAGGCTGCTGTGCTTCATTGATGCCCTCTGAATGGATGTAGGAGATTATAGAGATGGTATTTAAAACTCAAACTGAAGTAAAGTGAGCAGATTGCAAGAGCAGTAAAGGCTTTTACTCAATGCTCACAGCTGCTGTGTTTTGCTTTATTAATTACTTACCATTTGCTTAGAGAAGACCTTTACAGGTGTCTTTTCGATGTTGTTAGCCTGCGTCAATGGCCTAACATGGAAGTTTGTCCCAAGAGCTCCTCGGTTTGTTAATGTCACCATCAGTGTCACTGTCTCTCCAATGACATGCCTGCCGAAGTCAATGAATTCCTTATCCAGGGCCAACTGAAAAAAATGGTTTTGGTCAGTACTGATTAAGGTTATCATTAATATTCACAACACGGATGCTGGAATATACTATCAGACTAATTAGCTTTATGGAGAACATAAAATAAATGTGAAGATATTTCTTTGCTTTTAATCATTCAGTTTATTTATCAGGCCTAATGCCAAATTACTTTGTTTATTAGAGGTTCACCACACTAATAAAATACATTTAAAACAGCATGTGAATAATCTCACCCAGACAGGCATTCCACTATATTGTAAAAAAAGTATTTTCTGTATATATTTCTAAAAGATCAGCAAGACACGAGTCTGAAGGATTTAAGGAAGGGTGGATATCATTTTAAATCCCCTAATGTCCTATTTAAAGTCTTACTTAACAACACAGTACACACAACTGAATGTTCTGCAACCTACAGCTAACAATCAGATGTTTATATTCTGATCTATTATTCTGAAAGGCATTGTTGTTCAAACCAATTGCATTTGATGGCTCCAAGAAATAAACATCACTAATGAGTAAAGGGCAGAAATAGATTTGATTCCTTCAGTTATTGTAGGTCCCTCAGTACATTTGCACCTTAGCATTCCGGCTTGTAAAAACAGCCCAGCATTGCATGTTTCATTGTTAAAAAAAAAAATATTTAAAGGTAAATTACATGGTCAATGATATTTGTAAGCAGTTGTAATGTGAAATCTGAATTTGCTGTTCAAATGTGATAAACCTGTGTATTTTAGGAGCTTTTCAGTGCTGATCCTGTGCTATCGTTATTCCACTTTTAAACAAAAATACATTCTTGACCTTCCTTCCCAGACACACTAGCTAACTAGTTTACACTGACTAGTATATCTATAGCTAAAAGTCCTATGACAAGCCACCTTCTCTAAAAAATGGCTGAATATAGACAGTCTATGCATTCTATGCATATAAGCTGTTGTAGGATCCTTATTTCTCCCTATCTGAAACCACAGCTCTGTAGCATGTGTAACAGAAATCAGACTTTTGAAGATGAAATTAAAGTGTTACTAAAACCAGGACCCTGCATTCACTATATCTGGTCTCCCACAGAATATGGAAATGCAATTCATTTAGTAAATATAAACTGTTAAGTACCTTTTCTTATCAGCAGTTAGAGCAGTTTTGTGACTTCTATCAGTGTCCAGCAGAACACTGCTTAAAGCTTGTAGGAGGAGTTTTCATTCTCCCCAGATTGTCTATGATGCTGCATAACCCCTGACCCTCTGTCTGGACAGCACCAATTGGCCCTGTGCTGTTCACATGCACCCTCCCAAGACAAAAAAAACTCTCTAGCAATACACACTAAACTGAGCATGTGCAGCTTGCCCCCAAGGCTTTGTTCTATCAGCAGATGGATGGGGGACAGTAAAAGAAGGGGAGGATCAGAGAAGACAGGTCAAACAGCCTTTTTACACAATGTGGAGGATTAACCCTTTAGGTTCCACAGTGAGTATAACAAGCATTCTTTACTGCATATACAGACTGATTTTACTTTTGTAGGTTTAGTAACACTTAAATTTTTTATACAGTCTTTTCGGATACAATGTCATCATAATTCCTATCTTAATTAGCTGGAACTATTAGGTTTACCATAAGAAAAACAATCTTGCTGATGGGGAAAGGATGGATGAAGAAAAATTACATGATAATTAAAGTAAATAAAGCAGATTTTGCACAGAGTCTTCACAGCTGCTGTGTGGTGTGCCACTAGAGCGCTCTGACAAGAGAGGAGGAGATGCATGAATGCTAGTAGACAGGATAGCAAGAGGAAAAGCACACTTTACTTTACATGTTATAGGTGACTATATGTTGTTGGGTTACGAATTTCATCTGTTCAGATTCTTAGTATATTCCAAGCATTACCTACATTTACCTCCAAACCTCCCTCTCCCCCCTCTACAGCATGTCCCAACATTATTTTTTTCTTTTACCTGCATCCTGTCAGGGGTGACAATGCCGGCTGTGATTTCAATGCAACAGAGGTACTGTCTTATCAGTTAAAACAGAAAGTCGACCATGTTGAAAGTGATGAAATGTGTTAGGTGGAACTGCACAGGAAGCATCATCACATTCACACCACCCACTGGAAGTTCACTGAGCGATAGAGAGCGGCACTGGTAGGGCTCAAGTTTGAGTGGTCATGTGAATGTTCTTTTACACTGAAATACATGGTGCTTTGGGCACAATTAACAGGTGAGTGTACAAATAATTTTTAACAGTTTTTTATATAAATATTGGGTTTCACTGTGATTGTGTCTTTCCTTCCTTTCCATATGATTTAATGCTCAGGAGATATCACTTTGGAAGTGACAAATGGTAATCTTTATGTGGGAGTGAAATACCTTGTTTGGGAGCTTTCAAAACAAGCAGATTTGACCTTTAGCAACAAAAGCCCAGCTGTTCTAATGAGTGTGTCCTCTGCATGGTGGTGGAGTATGCACGCTGGGTGCCACTTGAATGAGGTACCATTTTCGTTGGACCACAAGCACAGTGGAGAATATTGAACATTTGATGAACACAGAGACTTTTTTTTATTTTGAAAATATTTCTTTTTCACTGTGAAGAAATTTCCATTTACTATTCACGGATATTTTGGACTTCTATTGATTTAACATGGCAATGCTGTGTTTATTTACTTATTCCAGAAGGTTAAAAGCACAATCGGTTTCTTCCAGATGAACGTGTATCTTTTTTTTGTTTGTAGTGTAAATCATGGGGAAAAGTGCATGTATTACAGAGATGTATTAAAAATTTTCTTTTTTCTTATGCTATGATATATTCTTTAAGCCTCCTTTCTCACCTTACAGAAACCCCACAGGTCTGCCTCCAACTGATCTCAGCATCACATGGTGCCAAGTGCCAGAGCCACTGAGGGACATTTTGCAGAGTACTGACTGTAGTCTCAGCGGTAACACTGGTGGCATCAGCCGTAACTTCAATGGCCAATAACAAAATAGGAAGGAATAAATAGAGGAAACCAGGAAGATGACACAACAGCAGGCTAAGTGACAGGTAGGGCTGAACTCTAGCACAACAAGCTGCTCCAAATGTTTTACCTGTGGGGCTGTTTTTTCATTTATATGCCATGATAAATAGGTTGGCCTAAAGGAGTGCTGTTAAATATCAAAACTAAAACTGTGTGTCTCTAAACAAGCTTATTGCACAACATTTCTTTCTGTAGCAATTTAAAAGCCATTTTTTTTCAGCAGCAACAATAAATCCCCCAGCAGCAATATTAACTCCCCCCGCAGCTACAATACATCCTCCAGCTGCATCAATAACCCCCCCCCAGCAGCAACAATTTGGAATGAGGAGGAGGTGTGGAATAGGGAAAGTACCGCATAATATACAAAATTAAGAGGTGCAGAATAGGGAATGTACATCATGGTAAATGAAATAAGGTGGTCTGGAATAGGGAAAGTACATCATGGCATATGGGACAAGGTTATTAAAAATAGGAATGTACAGTATGACATATGGAATGAGGTGGTGTGGAACAGTAATGTACAGCATGTCATATGGAATGGGGTGATGCCAAATAGAGAACATACAGCATGGCATATGATATGAGGCAGAGGTAGTGTGGAATAGGGAACAGACAGCATGGGATATGGCATGTACTAGCAGAAACATTGCTGTACCTTAGCAGAATGATCTCGGCCATACAGACCTCCATCAGTGTGGACCCGCTATTGATTGCAGTAATAGCTCAGCTGGTCAGTCCCTGCATGAGAGTTAATTGCCCTTTAGTTTGGCTGTGTCCCATTCAGACCTCCTGTCAGCATGGACCTAGAGCAACTGCAGGGTCAAATAGCTCAGATGATCACTTTTGTCACAGGTAAACAAACAGCCGGGGTACTTTCATTTACACTACTCATGTCCTCTGCTGTGCTCTGCGTTAGATAATTTAGATGATGCCATCAGTCAGAGGAAAGGAAGTGAGTAGTATAACGTCCTCTGTCCTGTGTTTTTGTTTAAATTTGTGACAGCCACAATCTGCTGAACTGTCTGTCACAGTAAATCCCTGCTAACTAGAGGTCTGAAAGAAGCAAAGCCTCACTAAGGGCACACACCACCACTGTCCCTGACAGGCACAGCACCCCCAGGCAAGACCTGTGCCTGCCAGAGGTGCCAGTGAAAGCTACTACTACTATGGGTGAGTGTTGGGGAGGTGCATTGTATAGGGGGGGGATACAATATTGATAAACTACACTGGTTTAACCACACCCATTGAGCTCCACCCCCATTTCTGTGTTTGGTTTTCTACAGACCAAAAGGTGGCAACTTTAGTTTGGTGCAGGAAGAACTAAGTGTTAAGGTCAGCAGAAGGGCCAGGGTCAGAGCATGACTTTTCTGATTCGCTCCAAAACCAGCATGCTGATAGGAAAGTTTTCAAAACTATTCTTTGCAGTCAGTTCTGCCAGCTTAAACTTATCTGAATACTTGGCAATCCCAGTACAGTAGAGGCGGTCAACTGTGCATTACCTCACACTTCTTAGTGGTACACTTTAAAGGAACTGTGAAAGGACCAGTCTGCGCCAAGAACTTCACTTCCCCTTCAAGATCTTCATCAATCTGCATAATACATTATTAAGATCCATTAAGACACACAATAGCACTAGCAAAAAAAGTTTAACCACAGATGTCAGAATTATTAGACACTACAACTCTAACCAAGACTTAGCAAAGCACTGCATGAAAACTGACAGATATTTCTAAAACACAGTTCAAAACATAATGATTTAAAACAACCACTATCAACCAAAGATCAGCTGCTCGGGGTTCCCTAAGAGAGCAGTGGCATATTGATATTCTGTCTACACTATCCACCAAAGTAAAAGGCCAGTAAAACTTTCAAGGTCTATGGGGTCAATTCACTAAAGGTTACATGACTAATTTTTCAGAAATATTGCAAGAGATAATATAAGAGTCAATTCATCAAAGTAAAATATCGAATGTGAAGTAAATACCACACATTTGTTAACATAGTGAGATAAATACAGCAAAAAATTAAATAAATGATTAAAGTCAATTCATGAAAAAACACACACACACATTTGATATTTATCACCTGGTGTTGCCGGCGGTATTTTAGAAATGTATAAAATAACAATTAGAGGAACTCTGCTCTGGCCAGAAAATTAAAAGTGTACAATGTATCAATGTGAAAATGTTCTCCTCTGAGCTCAGGTATGAAAATAAATTGTAACATTTCATCAGAGGGAGATCATTTTGTCAATGACACCACACTACAATGTTTTCATAGGTCCACATATTTGCTGTGTGCCTTCTGGTGCAGTGGTAGCCTGAAAAGAAAAAAAGTAAAAAAAAACCCACCAAAAATAATGCAAAATCTAAGTGCTAAATATCGCAAAACATAAATATTTAACACATTTGGTAAATAACGTATGTTTTTTAGTGAATTGACTACTTTTGCAATAAATACCGCATGAGTTATTTTAACTCACAAATTCATGTGGTATTTGTCTCTTAGTGAATTGACCCCAAAGTTTATTTTTGGGCCAATATTATTATTCATTGAATTTTATGATTATTAAAGAAACCTTATTATTTTATTTATTTTTAAAATCTTTGTACAACCTACTGATCACTATAAGGTACCAAGAGCTGTAACAGTTTTAGTTTTGATACCTGAAAACTATATCAAGCCCTCTGATACCTGAAAACTATATAAAAAGGTTGAGAAAGGCTGGCCTAACCCTTATCCATTCTACTAAAAATCTGTTTTTGCGTTTGTATCTTCATTGGAGAAATTTTCTAGGGGGAAATTTCTAGGCAACTGTTATTGCTGTCTATGTCCCCAGCAGGGACACAGACAGCAATGAAAAATTTTAAGGAATTTAAAGGAAAACCTCTATCCCTTCTCTGCTCTATCTGAAACTAAGTAAAACATTTTGAGTTCAGCTTTAAACACCAATTCATTTTTTTCTGGGTAAAGGTCAGAATATCTGTTAAATTGTTATCGCTGTGTGTGCCATCCTGTCCCGGTAATATGCAGTCTCCTGATTTTGTGGCAGGGAATGTAAGTGGGTCTAAATCTCCCCATAGAAAACACAGCAATTTAGACTCACCAGAAGTTCTAACCCTTTCCAAAATTAATAAGGTTTTGGCTTGAGTTTAGCTTTTATATTGTAAAAGATTGAATGACATGATTATGATATACAGATATTTTCTTCTTTTGCCCACCGGAAGACTAACCACTTGTTTAAAACACATTTGCTATCTGGCTTTGCTATCTGGCTTTGCCTGCACCAATATCAGTAAAATATGATCAATGTTAAGTTGACAGGCATGATCTCATTTAATCCATTTCCAAAAGGTGAATTATTGATCGTGTCTGTGAAGACCACTGCTCTAAATCCCTCTTGCTTGATTTAGTGTAGCATCTTAATGTACATACAGCAGTTTTCACTCACTTCACCCTCCAAGGTTCACATTATAACTAACAGGAATATTATTATATTGTATTCAGTGAAGGCTGGTGAGTGGCTGCTGAATGCACAAGAATGCTCTAGGATTCAATCAGATATTTATTTCCTTCTGTGAATGGCTTTTAAGAATGGGACCTGGAAACATTATGTTAGTTTATGCTGTGGACTAGAGAGACCTTTATTTGGTTTTGAGAAATAATGTGGTAGTAGAGGCAAACCTCAATGCAAATTCAGGATCTAACGTGTCACATAGAACGATAGCTTTTCTTGGGAGCGCTACAGGCAGATGTGTACTTCTAGGTACCTGTTTTTCAGTCTTGCAAATTGCATCAGCTTTAATCTGCATATAGGTTTTAAAGAAATCCTTTGCTGAAAGAATATGGTAATTGATATTGCTACCATGCCAATACAATGATTTGCAGGTCACTGACCTGGAATAAGTATTCAGTAATCGGAGCTCCTGATCCCGTACTTAATCCAAATCAATGGCTGAGAAAGTATTGATGGCATTGGATCAGTATGATAGCCAACATTTTCATAGAGAAAAGTTAGTAATGGCAGCCCACTGAGCTTCCTCAGCACAGGTTTCCCTTAAACATCTGTCCAGGCATTGTGTACCATCTGTTTTTATGGTCTGTTGTTAGCCAAATATTATCTATTGCGATAGGTTACCTTTAAAGGAGAATTCTGCACAAGACCCAGTTTTTAAAAACAAAACTAAATGTGCAAAAAACAAACATTTTACAATGTATATATATTATTAAAGCTCTTTGAAAGAGAATAAATTAAACGCCAGAGAATTCATTGTTTTTGTATTAATGCATTTATCGCTGTCCATTTGTTTGAATCATTTTACTGAGAAAGTATAGTGGCTGATTGTGTCTCTCTGAAAATGCTGGTTGTCTAGCTGTCATGCTGAATCAGTGGATTGAGTATTTTATGAGTTGCTGACCTGAAACAAGTATGCAGATTAGGCTTTGTAACATTATTATGACTTTCCTGACCAGCCTGCTTGTTTTTGGTCCCTGGCTCAGAATCTTCTGAAGCCAGACAGGGTAGGGCAACTAGTTTTCTCAGAAAGATGTCAGTAATGGCAGCTTCCATACAGGTTTTCTTTAACAGCCTATTCACACTTGTGTGTTTTGATGCAGAAACACTCATGTACTTTGCTGCATGAAGATATATTGCAAAATAGTGCAAATACCACTCTTTCCTATGTGGCTGGTTCACTTGTTTACATTGCATGTTAGTGCAAAAGAAAAAGGAAAACTATATGGGTCCATTCACACCTGTGCATTTGTTTTACCATGTACACTGCAAGCACACGAAACAGTGTGAATCCAGCATAAAAGTGTTTTTAACGACTGCTTGTAGCAGATACAGCTGGTCATCCACACATAGAATTTTTTTGTTCAGCCTATACAGCCCAGATAGATGAATCTCCTGCTGTGCACCTGCTATTGTATTCTGACAGCCGGAGCCAACAACGGTCAAAATACCCATACAGTGGTTGAATCTGATTTGATGCAGCCATTGTTCTGCTTGGCCCCTTTCAATTTCCAGTGGAAGGATGCTCATTAGGAACCATGTAAAATACAATCAGTGCATGGCCAGCTTAACAGTCATTTCTCACCACTGGGAAGCTGGATCTGCAGAAAGTTGAAAATGTATCAAGAGAATTGATACCAAACATTCATGGGCAGATCAGAATCACTCTTTAAAATTGCTGAGTGTAGGGCCTTTGAGCAATATAATTTTTTTGCATCTTTAGATTTATTTTGTGACAAGGGTCCTATGAGATCACCAGGAATTATGGCCTAGTTATGGCCATAACTGGCATTACAATGTTTTCATCATAGTTTTGGCAGATATAAATCAAGCAGAAGCCCTTAAGCCAGCCATACATGGATTGAGATTTGGCCAGCTCAACAGGGTCCAGCTGAATTTCACTCCGTGTATGGGCACCCTAGTTCTACAAAAGTCGATCCACCGATCAACTTCTGTGCAAGCAGACTGTTGGAGAAATGCCGCTCAATCAGCACAACTGACTATAGCCTGCAACACTTATCAGTGTATTCGGATGGCAGAGATGTCTACCTGCTGTCAGAACACAATAGTTTAGCGCTGTGATTCCTTCATTCACCCCAAATGTGTGGATGGGGAAATCAGGGTACAGAGGGGACTGAGTGAATAAAAATTAATCATCTATGAGCTGCCTTACTCTCTTCTACTGCATTATCCAAATTGAGTGTTAAAAATACAGGTCAAGCTGCAAAATCATATTTACCATTGGTTTAAATGTGACCATCATGTCACATGACATTCCAGCAGACATTTGTCCAGGTGGGTCAAATCTGTAAAATACAAAATTAAGTTAAAGTAGTTTTACATCCTGAGGTTACCAGAATGTGTTTGCTAATATTATTAGCAAGAAAATCCTCTACAGTGGACCACTTTATTTCAGCTTCACTTTTTTTTTTGTACCAGTGAACTAGCTTAATTGACTGGCCAGCTTCCATTCCCCTATTAAATTACAGCAATCCAGTGGCTTTTAAGGTCATTCTTATAGTGCAAATATCAAGATGTGGGTGGAGCTCAGTTTAGAAGTCCAGACCCTAATAAAGGGTCCCTAAGAAAGTGAAACTAAATCGGAGGGGCCCATATATGTTCTTTACACTGTGTAAAGAACTCCATTTTATCAAGACCATGTTAGTGAAATCTTTACAACTTTAGTTAAAATGTGATGGTTGAGGACTTTAATGTTGAACTTGTAATCTGTATGTAAAACATAATATTACTATATACACTTATTTAATTGATAATAAAAAGATTTTTGACTTACCTGTAAATTCCATATCTTGGCGTACAGTACAGGACAGGACACTGGTTATGGGTGCGTACCTGCAGGCCATTGGACACTGGCAAGCTTTTGCAGACTCTTCCCTCTGGGAAATCTCCCCTATAACAATACCCCACTCCATTAATCCTCAGTTGTGAAGCAAGCAATGCAAAATAAAGGAGGAAGTGTGGCCTGTGCCTGTACTGTACTTCAAAATATGGAAGAAACAAGTGAGTCAAAATTCCTTTTATCTTAATTGTGCAGTACAGGATACAGGCATGGGCATCCCCAAGCAATGAATACAAAGGATGGGCAACATTTAGGCAAACAGAACTGTGCCTATCGGCCCAAAAACAATGGGGGTCAATACACCCAAGAGCACAACACTGCTGCATGAACCTTGTGGCCAAAAGCTGCATCCACAGAACACTGGATATCCATCTGGTAAAACTTTAAGAAAGTATGAACAAAAGACCAGGCGGGCAACAGAGGCTTGGTGACAAAATGCTGAGGAAACGCCTACCGATCTGGTAGAATCGAAGTGTAACAGCATATGAGCAGGATATTGGTCAACAGTTATTAATCCACCCTGCAAAAGTGGATTTTGAAGCAGGGTGCCCCTTGTGAGGTCCTGAGGAGAGAACAAACATGGAATGGGTTTGTCTGATGGAAGCAGTAGCTTTGAGGTATACTCTAATGGCCCGGACTACATCCAAGCAATGTAGAGAAAATTAATTTGGAGGCTTTGAGCAAGGCACAAGGATAGTAGTACAATGTCATCATTGGGGTGGAAAGCTGAAACCTCCTTTGAAAGAAAGGATGGTCTTAGGCATAAGACAACCTTGTGCAGTATGAGGAAAGGCTCTTTACAAAAAAGGCCACCAGTTCAGAAACACATCTGACAGACATGATAGCTGCCAAAAAGGCTACCTTATTGGCAAGAGTCTCTAGTGGAATATCCCTGATGGGCTCAAGAGGTAGTTTCTGTAAGGCAGAGAAATTAAAATCCCATGGAATCTCGGGGTGCTGCAAGGGGGGCCTGATATGAGAAAAACCTTGAATAAAGGTTTTTTACAAGGGAGTTTAAAACCAGAGGCCTTTGAAAAAGTAACAATAAGGCAGATATTTACCCTCTATGGGTGCTTAAAGCCAAGTTCTGGTCAGGATCTGTTTGCAGGAATACCAGAATGTGAGGCACAGAGTAATCTCTGGGACTGAATTGAATGCATTCAAACTAGGCAAAATAGGATTTTGAGGTACGATAATAGATCTATCTTCTGAGTTAGCAGATCTAGCCAGCTGGGAAGGGGCCAGGGGTTGTCTGCTACAAGTATGAGTAAGCCTGAATAACAGGTTCTTTTGGTGCCACTTTTCTTTCTGCTGTATTTTGTGGAGCAGGCGAGGAAGAATTAGCACTAGAGGGCTTTAATTAGCCTGAACTAAGACCAGGGAATTATTAGGGGATCATAAGCCAGGGCTCAAGAAACCCTGGTTCTGGTTACAAACAGAGGTAGCTTGTTGAATCTGGAGGCTAGGATGTCCACATTCGGAATCCCCAGAATTCAGAATCTTTGGCATAATAGATTGAACACATCCGGATGAAGAGAACATTTCCCTTGGTCCATGTGGTGCTGGCTGAGATAATTTGCTTGCCAATTTTCCATTCCTGGGCAGGGTTGCCAACCGTTCATAAATTCATGGACAGTTTGTAAAGATACGTGATTTTATAGCTGTCTGTGAATGTCTGTTATGGACATAAAGGGGTTTATTTACTAAAGCTGGAGAGTCCAAAATCAGACTCCTTCTGCATAGAAACCAATCAGCTTCTAACCTCAGCTTGTTCAATGAAGCTTTGGCAATGAAACCTGGAAGCTGATTGGTTTCTATGCAGAAGGGAGTCTGATTTTGGACTCTCCAGCTTTAGTAAATAAACCCCAAAATGTCCGTAAAAATAGTGTACTTTGTGCAGCAACCAAAAGTAGTGCACACAGTGCCCAACTGACTAAGAGGATGGGACTGTTGATTAATCTAATACACTTCACGGCTGCAGCAGTAACAATTGCTCTGCCACTCGCCAGCTCTCAGTCAATCAGCATTCAGCACTGTTCTATAACCTGCCCCTTTCCCCAGTCTACCAAATTTGACACAGAAGAGAAGATGTGGGTAGCCAGAGTGTGGCTGAATCAAGGCAGGACTAAAGTAGGGACTGTTCCCTGCGCCTGTTCCATGTATTAACCAGTAAGTAGCTGAAGCATGTTTGTATTTGCTTTTTGGAAGCTGTGGATTGTTAAAAGGAAGGATTAAAAATAGCTATTTAGTTGTGAGTATTGTGGGTATTGTTCCTGGGAGTTGTTGCAGAGCCCATTGTATATACCAAAATGGTTTACACAAGGGACAGGTACACTATATGAGTATGAATGTGCCTTTAGATTACTGGCATAGCATATAATGGATCATCTCCTGTAGTACGTCTGCAATCTCTGACCATCTCCTGTAGTATGTCTGCAGTCTGTGATCATCTCCTGTAGTATGTCTGCAGTCTCTGAACATCTCCTGTAGTATTCCTAGCACTAAATAATATGCAGAACAATTTTGGTAAGCCAGGGGCTACAGTTGATGCCCCAAAATCTCATCAGCTGACCATACTGGGATTCAGTCTCTCACCAAGCTATATGCCCACAAAATAAATGGAGTGTATAAGTCAGATCAAGCCCTTTGTGCCTTAAAGTGGACCTTTCACCATAAAGGACTCTTTCACATGTGCTGCAGTTCCTTCTCCTCTATATAAAGCAATCCAACGTGGATCACTTTGCAGAGGCAGTTTGCAGGCATTCAGGAGGTGATACTGTATTTCGCTGTTGGCTGCGGAGCAGTCCCATTGACTTTTATGGGCATGCAGGACAGATGACACCACCTGTGAAACTTGACATATCGAGCTAAAATTGCCACACTGTGAAACTAAGCATCAAAGTCACTGGTCAATGAGGAGAGATCCGAGGGAGCCTCTGCTATAGTACCCATTGTTGGATTGAGATTGGGCTCAGATAAGTATAAGGGTACTGGGGAGAGTTTCTTGCAGAAGGGTTTTCACCTTAATTAATAGAATGCACGAAGACAAAAAACCTTCTGACTTTGGAACCACTTTAAGCCACTCTTAGCTGCAATCTGGTCATGCTTATTGCTCTCTGTGGTATGCATAGAAGAACTTGTTTTTCAATCGTATCCCAGGGTGGCTGATATTTTGTTATGCTGTGTTGACTTTTTGTGTAAGGGTCTTTTCACCCGAGTGTTCCGTTTTTTTCATCAGTTCAGTTCTGTTAAAAAAAATGGATGTTAATGGATGCGGACATTAATGGATGTAAACAGATGATCATCCGTTTATATCCGCTAGTCCATATAAATACAGGTGTCCATTTTTCATGCTAAACGGACAGATGGAAAACGGGCATACGGAACACCCATGTGAAAGGACCCTTAAGCAGGCAAACTGCTTGTTATGGGTATTGTCAGTGTTTACATATGATGTTTATACTGTTTAAATATCCATTTGTGTTAGCTTTTAATTGAAATTGTCATTTTTCAGGTTGACAATAAAAAATGTGCTCTATCAGTAAATGTTTCATGTTCATGTCAGTAAAAAAATTACAGGAGGTTGGCAACATTGCTCCTGGGATATGAGCAGTGAGTTGATGTCCATGGGTAAATCTGGATTGTTTGTTGTACCGCCTTGATGGTTAATATATGCTACTGTGGTAGCATTGTCTGACTGCATCCAGATTGGTGCTTGGTTTCCAGTTTTGACCATACTCCTTGAAATGTCAAGGATTGGAACACTCTTCCATAGCTTGATAGACTTTTTTTTTGTAAGACTTTGTCTTTTATAAGGACTTCACAGTGGTAGGGAAGGAAATTTTCATCACTGTTTAGGGTCCTTTCACACAGAGTGGACCCGTTTAGCAGATCCACTTGCTCAGCGTGGGATCTGTCTTCTGATCACCGCTGAGCAAGTGGATGACAGCTCTGTGTCCATTCCGCTGATGCACAGCAGACACAGAGCTGCTTGCTCTCCTCAATGGGCAGATCGGATGAAAATAGACTGCCTGTCCGTTTTCATCCGATCTAATCTGACAAACGGAAAGGGACTTGGATCCCCATTTGTCCCTTTTTTGGCAGATCGGATGTCGGCGGGTTTGACAGTGAGATGAGTCATTCAGAAGAAGGTCATCTAGATTAGGGCTTGAAAAAGCTGCTCGCCCACTCGCCAAATGCGAGGGGAAATCCTTGTGTGGTGAGCACAGATGGAGCGGCTCCACCTGTGCTCCAAGCCTCATTGTGAAGCTGAGTTCCAGTTTCCAACTTTTGGTTTCCAACTTCTTCTTCGGCACCGCCATTACACTGGCAGCGCCGCTGAGGGGACAGGTGCAGGAGAGGTCCACTCTCCTCCGCTGAGAGGAGACACCCGCTCTCAAAAAGTAAAAAAGAAAAGGAAAAAAAAA